CGATGCTCGGGAGGTATGGATGAGAATATGGTGGATTCCTCTCAGGTGCTCAGTCATCCGCTTGACTCATCGATGCTGGAAAGCCAGCAAAACAATGAGAAAGGTGGAAAGGATAGTGAGGCTGGGGAAATGGGTGTGTTTCTAAGTAACAGTTCGACAGCCGAGAGCCCACAAAAATCTTTAGATGATAATGTGGCAACTGGCAGAGGTTTAGATGCCAAACACAGTGATGATATTATCTTGGAACTTAGAAATGAGCTGATGGAAAAGTCCAATAAACTGAGTGAAATAGAGTCCAAGCTAAATGGTGTTATGGAAGAGGTATCCAATTTGAGCAGAGAGTTGGAAACGAATCAGAAGCTTCTTGAAGAATCCCAGGTTTGGCAGATTTCCCTAATCTTTCCAACTCTGAAATCTATTCATTGCATCGTTAGCCTAGGAGCTTGTCTTTACTTTTTGGTATGTTATTTATCTTTACACCATTTTCTGTTACTCTTTTGGTTGCTGGTATTCGCTTTGTCATAGACGTCTAAATTCTAGTATCTAAGGGGCTAGTATCAGTTCTATTTTCTGTGATCTTTTACTGGTAATGATGTCAATCATCTGGACTAGGAAGGTTCAATATGCTTTTGCGTAATGCCTAACCAGTTGAAGCCAACCAGTTCCAGGAGCCATAGATCAAGGCTTTCATGAGATCTTGGATTACACCTGGTTGACCAATCATTCAAATTGTGAAATTTCTTCGTTTCTCTCAGTTAGTTTACTAGTACACTCTAATGAGAGGGCTATGATTATGAACAGTTTAATGTTTTTGATTTGGCAGACATTTCAATTAGAAATATGTAGAGATACAATAAGCATGGTTCTGCTGTTTCTGCGTCACCAGATAGCTTGTGTACCTTGCACATTATAAGACCCTGTTCCCCTTAAATTTTTACCTTTGATGTGGTATGTATTACTATTTTGGTTTTAGATGAATTGTGCACATTTGGAGAACTGCTTACATGAAGCAAGAGAAGAAGCCCAGACCCATCTTTGTGCTGCTGATCGTAGAGCTTCTCAATATACTGCACTTCGTGCATCAGCTGTGAAGATGCGAGGTCTCTTTGAAAGATTCCGGAGCTCTGTCTGTGCTGGCAGTGGGATTGCTGATTTTGCCGACTCCTTGCGAACTTTGGCTCAAGCTTTAGCCAAGTAAGTTCCCATCTGTACGCTTCCCGAAAAGATAACCTTAGTCCTTTCTCTCTTGTATATATGGCAGTACTTATCCACTTTCAAGCTCTTGTTCTGAAAATGTTTCTCTGAATTTGCATTTCTCCTACTTGGAAATTTCACAGCTCCGTTAATGAAAATGAAGATGATGGTACTACTGAGTTCCGGAAATGCATCCGAGTCCTGGCAGACAAAGTTAGCTTCCTCTCCAAACACCGGGAGGAATTACTGGAGAAGTGCCAAAATCTTGAAGCCACAAGTGAACAGACAAGAAAGGACTTGGAGGAAAAGAAAGAGCTGGTGAAAACATTGTACACTAAGCACCAACTTGGGAAGCAGGTAGACTCGTGTTATCTCTAGTAACAGTCATGGTTTCTTGCAGCAAATTTTCTCTCTTTTTGCTACACATTCATAATTTGGAGTGTCCTCGGTTTTGAATGAGAAAATTGGTGAACTTCTTGTGATGACAGGCAAATAAGGAAAAGATATCATTTGGTCGTCTTGAAGTCCATGAGATCGCAGCATTTGTGCTAAACCAAGCAGGACATTACGAGGCAATCAACAGGAACTGCCCAAATTACTACTTGTCCTCTGAATCCGAGGCATTGTTCACAGATCATCTCCCAAACCGGCCTACATACATTGTTGGACAGATTGTGCACATAGAGCGCCAAATAGTGAAACTGCCATCACCACTTTCAGCTTCTGCTTCTCCTGAGGCGGGTAAGACACATCATCTCGGCTCAGACCAGGGCTCGAGAACTCTGGCATCAAGTTCAATCTCAACATCAACTTCAGCAACAACAACATCAAACCCTTACGGTCTCTCTTCAGGATGTGAATACTTCATAGTGACGATAGCAATGCTTCCTGACACTGCTATTCATCAACAAACTTCCTGATCCTTTTGCTTGTTCTTAAGGCAGATAGACGTGATGGAAGAAACCACCTCCCCCCAAAAAAGAACAAAAAATGTAAATACTTTGAATTCAAATAACACAATCTAAAACCAGACAGCCCCTTATATGATTTGTGGGTTTCATTTGTCTCTTCTTTAATTTCCTTTTATTTCATATCTTTCTTCTTTATGTACATGTACAGCTGATGATCACTGATCTTAGTTTAATCTTTTCTCCTTGTATTGTACACACTCTGCTATAATTTGAATGCTGTAATAAAAAGGATATATATATTAAGAGAAAAGGTAAAAGTTTAGGATAAATAATAGAATCTTACGCCTCTGCAAACTTTGGTTTATATTGGGAATAATATACAGAAATTAATCTTCAAAACATGTTTCTTAAAATCCCTGTGGGGGTTGTAGTTACCAAGAGATAATTTTGATTTACAATAAAAAAAAAAACAGAAAAGCTACTAGTCCAGGTTCCTATACTTGCCACATCCAGAAAAGAAAGGCGGTTATCTATAAATTATCTATTATATGCATCACCATCTTCTTCTGAAATGTTGGACAAGAACTTTGGCAAGGATGTGATCCGGGGGAGGTGTAATAGCAAATCGCTGAATGAGTCTTTCCTTAACATACCTTGTGGTTTGCTGCTAGAAGCTGGATCAAGAACTCTGTCGTTGTTGTTGTTGTTGTCAGAAACAATTCCCTTGGGTTCAGACTTCAATCCAACTGACATTTCGGTATTGAGCTGTGAGTTTGCAGCGACATTGGGATCCTTGTACAAGAGGTTGAATAAAGAGTTAACCCTTGGCATGAGAGACTTCTCATCTGGTGCCTCGAACTGGATATTATCACTTAGCAACTGCTGTTTCATGATCTCAAATTTCTCCATATGTTCCGGATGACTTCCACCAGCAGAATCAGAGAGAAGTCCAACGAAATCACTCACCGACATAGATTGGTGTAGTCCAGGTACTTTTATCTGATCTGAATCAGTTATGTTTCTTGAATCAGATAAATATGCAACGAAATCACTAACTGACATAGATTGGTGTAGTCCAGCTACGTCTTCAGCCAGATTCAAATCCGTTGTGTTTTTTGAATCACAGAGAACTGCAAGGAAATCACTCAGTGACATAGATTGGTGTAGTCCAGGTGCTTCGATCTGACCACAATCTGTTCTGTTTCTTGAATTGACTGCTTCAGAACCTCCAATTCCTTCATTTGCACGAGCATCTATCACTAGAGATGAATGAAGCAAACAAACAGAAAAATAAATCCACAATCTTAGTCAGGTTCAACAAAAGTGAAAATGAAAAACTATATTCAAATAAGGAGTTATGAAAGCAACCAGAATGAGCGAGCAGTCATCATAATACCTGAGCTGGGTGATGGTGCTTCATGAGACAGATACATATGCTCAGATGATGACTGAGCCCCAACAGGAGATGCTAAATTCTGAGTCCCAGAATTCGAAGGACCTGTGCTAAGATTCAAATTCCCAAAAGGATGGCCTTTTGATTCACTTGGATCCTCAAAAATAGATTGCCGCGCATCAAAGTAGGGAGAGTCAATAGCTATCTCCGGCTGTCGGCTTAGATGGAACAGACGATGATCACATTGAACGAGCTTTTCAAAATGTTTGTTCATTATCCCTTGAGCACATTGCAGAAAATGCTGCCTAACAGATCACAGGGAGCGTATCGTTAGCTGAAGCTAGGACATCACCAATTTATTCAGAAAAAAAATATGAAATGCCTGTACCTGTTCATGCTGGCTTGGCCATCAGTAAAATCTGATGTCGCCTGCCACAAAGTATGTTTTCTAGGCTGTGGGTTTGTTTCCCGGAAAAATAAGGGCTGTCTAGCAAGCTGAAACATAAAGAGACGAGTGATTAAAGTTGAACAAGAGTAATAGGTTGAGCAAAAGAAAAGAACATGAGTGAATCGTATACCACGAGAGTCAAAGTTCCAGGTCCGTCTTCAGGACAGTTTGCCTTCAAAGCCATAATATCTGACCATTGGATCTCGATTTTACTCTTAAGACCTTGTTCCAATACTTCCCAAACAAGTTTGTGTTTTGCAAAGTAACACTTTGCCACCAAATCACCTTCATACCTCGATTTATACTATCAAAAAGAAACCAGGTCAAGTTAGATTTTGAAAGCACCATGAAAAATATATCAAAACGAAACATTTTGCAGGACTCACCTCCCACTGTCCAATCTTCAAAAGCGAAGCAGGAAAGTTGGAAGCTTTCAGCTTCTCAATACTTCCTGGCGCCAAAGTCGGTCCAAGTGATGCAGCAGCAGCAATGCTTTTACTTTCTTTCTTAAGACCAGAGCCAAGTGCACCAGCTTTCAGCGTTTGAGCTGCTTTACGGTCACCACAATGCGTTATCGTCATCTGAATCAACTCCAACAAAGATGGACTCTTCCTAAGATTCAACCCAAGAGGACTCGGCTCATCAAGCGGGTTATACTTAGCTGGAGCCATTGTCGATGAACTTGTCTCAGGACTCCATAACTAATTCAATGCAAGAATCAATAAAAAAAGATACACCACCAAACAATTCACAACCAGCTAAATATAAAATCATCACCGTAGGAATCGTTAAAAGCCAAATCTTTTATTAAAAAAAAACTAAGAGTTGCTATTGAATTGATCGCAGAAACTGAATTAGATCAGCTAATCTGAAAAAAGAAAAAAAGAGAAAGAAACAAACCCTAGATCGTTTGGTGAGAGGAGCATGCTCTTCTTCTAAATCATCCTCAGCAATCTCCAATTTCACCGGTAGCTCATCTCGGCACTTGGCCGCCAATTCAGACTCCGTTCGTCTTAAACCTCCAGATTTCCTCATTTCCACCATCCCCAGAAAAAACAAACAAACCTTTCTTCTTCAAATAACACCCCAAATTCAGACAAATTTCGGATAACCCACAAACAAAATTATTTCACAAAAAGGATTTTATCTGGAACACGAAAGAGAATCAAAAGCAAACCCTAGAAATCAGAGTATAAAACATTTACGGGATCTCTCTCTCTCTCTCTCTATAAATTTGATTGTGTAAAAAAGGATTCTCCTGGCGGCTATCGACGCGCGTATACCGTGATTGTACCGACACGCGCCATCGTTATTTTGACTCCGAGTGCTAATGAAATTCCCAAATTAGCCACCACGTTATGCCCACTGAAGAAGGGCTAATATTGTCATTTTTGTTTTTCATTTAATAATTTAGTTAATTCGCTGGCGAATAACCAGTAGTTCTTGATATATAGTGTGGGGTTTGGTTTACAAAAAAAAAAAAAAAATAGTGTGGGGTTTACTTTTTTTTTTTCTATTCTTATGACGGCTATATATAGATAGAGTATTTGCCACGTATTACTCGTCCTCCTTTTGCCTTAATTAATTACTTTTTTTTTGTGTTGTGTATAGTCCACTAGTCAACTAATGTTTTCTTTTGCCACTTTTGGTAATCAAACATAAAAATTTATAAATTCAACCTTATCTTATTAATCCTACACAAATGAAATCTATTTTTTTTGTAAACTAACAATTGTCAAAAAGTTGAACAAGACTTACATGTAATCATATATATAAACACTTGTTGAATGAACAATAGTCTTTGATTTTGAATTCTCATATTAATTGTGGAATGAGAATCCTTGAATTTCAGTATGTAAAATTGGAACATGTGACTAAAATTAAAATCATATAGTAAGTCAATGATAAATTTAAAATCATAATAATATTACAAATCTGTAAAACTGGAACATGTGGTTGATCTGAATTTGAAACATTTACAATGGTTTTATTGCAAGAGTTAAAAGTCCTTTGCCACGTCCCATATTTAATACTTAGTGATATAGAAAATATATCTTCAGAACTAAATACTGTTTTTTCTTTTTCATTTTTGTGTATTCCCATTCAGAACATATATAGACATAGTAGTTATCATTTAATTAAAAGTCTAAAACCCCATATAGATGCATGATTTCGTCATAATAATTTTCGTATTATGCGTATTTTATTATGAAAACATGTTATGAATTTCGTTTTATTTGGTTTTCGTACATTTATGTCCCAAATTTTGATTTACCGACATCTAAAGAGCTACCCCAACCATTATTTCTTGCCAATTACAATTTTTTTTTTTTTTTTTTTAAATTTGGGATTCTATTTACATATGAAAACTTCTACGTATGCATTTTTATTTATTTATTTTGCGAGGAACTTGGCATACACGCCTTCATGAGAGTACGGAAAAATGATGACGTACCATCAAACTGGTTCCAATCATATATAATTGGATATATCTTCACAAATTTATATTTAAATGCGATCATATGCAACTATATATTGGTACAGCTTCTTTGACAAAAATTATTTCAAACATATATATATATATATATATTATATACGTTTTTTCAAAAATTATTTTGGTATAAGTTTCAAATACATTAGCATATTCATCTAAGATTGCGAAACTTTACAATGACTTTGATCAAACAATATTCAATATTATAGGTCCTGTATCTACGGACGTCCCTCTCCTATGGAATGGCAAATGGAGGAAAACAAAATGACTATTGGCTATTCTTGTCAAATTATAAGTCACACACAAACAAAACAAAACAGAAATACCCTCTTGTGTTTTCTTTTCCATCATCGCTCATTTTTTTATGCGTGGGATTTATTCTGTTTATTCTTGTTTCAAATCTGATCCATCCTCAACCTATCAACATCATTATAATAAAAAACAAAGAAAAAAGATTGGAGGAATAAGAAGAAAGAGCAATTTGTAAATGGAGGATGATATAGTACCCTTAAGCGTCCCGTGAGATCCTTCTTCATCTTTGAGATCGATCCTTCCTTAGAATAATAATAATGCCTGTGCCAGATCCACGGGCGGGGCAGGCGTTCATCTGTCTCATTACATTATTTCTTTTCCTATCAATCGCGGTTGGAGGCGGTTGTCTAATTGCATACACAATCCTTCCTTACCCTCCAGTTTGGCTCTCCTACCTCGGCATTGTCTTTGTTTGTCTCCCTTGGTTCTTTTGGATCCTAACCTTTGCATACCGCATTGTTTCACGCACTTTTGGATTTAGGATGGTCGTTGGATCCGGTGGTAACAATAACAACGCGAGTGGAGAATCCATGCCGCGTGATCTTGACCCTCCTGAGCAATCTTTAGAATCTCCCGATGATGATGATCCAGAGACGATAGCTCACCCACAAGGCCAAGTTCTAGTGTCGATTGAAGGGAATCAATCGAAGAAACGAATGTCAACCTCCAGCAATTCTACTATCGGTTCGCATGAAAGTGAGATGCCACTAGCCATTTCTATGGGCTCATGATCATATATGTTTTGTTGACACATGAAGGGATCTTGCCATAGATATAGCATCAGAATGAAGATGCTAACCAGATACTTAGCCTCTTGAAAACATGGGAAATTTTGCTGTTTTTATTTTGTATCTTATTCAGATAGATTTGTAGATTCAACAAACAAACAAACAAAAAGAAGTGTACACCTTTTAATTAGCACTACCAAAAGTTTTCCTCAAACCCTAACCCCTCAAAAATCGACATGGTTTTTATTTTATGTTTTAAAATCAAGAGAATGTTTGTTACGAAGGGGTGTAGTTTTAGATGTTTTTGGTGTGGGACTTGCGTAATGCGGATTTTATAGGGTAGATCAACATCTAAGAGCAAGCCCAACGTTCCGTCTCTTAATTTGAGTTTCTCTTTTCCATGTGAACACAATTTTATGTGTGAACACACATTATATTAATAATTTATTAAAAAGTGTTTTAACTAGACTAATTATAAAAGGACATGTGTAAAAAACGTTTTTTATGAGTACCTAAAACAAGAAACGCCTCTATCACTCTCTCCTCCTTTTTCCATTTTTCCCTATATTTTAATAGTTAGAGACTTGCTAGGTACGACCGTTGCTGATGCTCTAAGATTTGTGAAGTTTATGTAATTTTGTATATATCTATTACTAGTTTGGTAATATAATTCTGCGGTGAAGCCATTGATTTTAGGGTCCCTTAACTTGACAAACAATCCAAGTTATCGGATTGTTGAGTTTGAAATATGCTGGCATCAGCACAGCAAATGTGTCAATTCACTGATTCACGCAACGATGTGGTGCTGGTGAAACCAAGATAGTCACTTTCATCTTTTTCATAGTGATTGATATACAAAAAAAACTCCTTTTAATTTGGGTTTGGAGAGTATCAACATGCATATAATTTGAATACTTGTTTCTATGTTTATTAGCTACCATTAATCAAAAAAGATAAATTATTTATTCGCTGCAGCAATATATGTATCGATTTCACTAATCTATGTTAGGTAGAAATTAGACCATGTCACTTTTCTTTGCCTTGTATAGTAAGTTACAGCTGCTCTATGCAAACCCTCTTGTGCTTTGTAGAGACGGATTTGATTAACGAGATAGCTCTTAGTGATAAGCATCTAACTAATATATATCGGCACAAGACAATAACATAGAACATCCCTTTTGAGATAGACAAAAGTTAGTCCTCGGAATCGGCCAGAATATCCTTACTTTTGCTAATGTTTCCTCCATCAAATATGGCAGTCAAAAACGAGGGTACGCTTCCAACAGGAAATAGCTTTTGTAGCCATTCTGGCTTAGCTTGGGATAAGAGAAGACCATACGACCAGAATCTAGTCAAACATCCAATACGATCAGCCAAGTCGTCTTCGGTTATTTTTGCAATAATAATCACGTTTGATTTAGGATTTTCCAGTGACCACAACATAATGTCACCATACATGGACCAATGTCTCGCATATTTATCCCCTGCAAAAGTTAGGTTATAATTATATCAACAACAACGGAGATACATATCTGTAAGAGAAAGAGAAAAGAGCTTAATTCAGAGTAATGGAATTCTCACCTTCGGTGAACACTTGTAATTTGAATCCAGCATCCGAATATTCACGATCCGCGAAGGTATTATTATCATCAGCATAAGCCTGAATCGACACCTCCGCATCACAACCATACTTGTTGACAGCGTCTTTGATTCTCTGGTAAATCGAAGCAGGATCGAGACCATCAGGGATTGGGTAATCCTCCACATCCCAAAACACACATGTCTTACCATCTACCAACACACAACGATTAAACCATTATTGCGAATAAATATAGAGATCCGATTAGATACATATAGAGATCTTTCTTACCCTTGTAAAAAATCAGCGGATAGAGGTTGGAGGGCTGCGGATGATCACGATCACACATGGCTGAGAGACTTTGTGAATTTTAGGGTTACGACAACTGTGCTCTATCTTTGATATAGGATCTTATTGGGCTGGACCTGGCACTAGTAGGCCGTGGCATAAAATCTACAACTCGAAAACCGAACCAGAACCAAACCTGATGGTCGTTGACTCATCTCTCCTTTTAATTTTCTTAGTAGGATTTAACCGGGCAAAATTGTATTTTATATATTTTATATAATAATTTATAATTTATTGTATTTTTAAATTGATATTATAAAAAAACATCTCATTTAATTATTTTATATTATAATTGATATAGTTGAAATATGTGTACTTAGAAGATTTGTAGGTGTATAAATGATAGTGTTAATATTGGCAAGTATTTATAATCATGAACTATAATAATAATTTGATATTATTTTGTATCAAAAAAATTTACCCCGCGGTATATTGCGGGTCGATTTTTTTAAACTAAAAATTTTAAATTTTAAGTTATATATTTTGTGTTAATATTGTTTGGTTTGTTTAATATTTAAGATTATATAACTATATTTTTATTTTTAATTCTAGATTTCACCCGTGGTATACCGTCACGTATTAATATCGACTCAAACCCGTCCCACCATATAACCCCGTTTTGTATTCAGAATCATTTTGGACCTTTTTATAGCATGACTCTGAACCATTGTCCAATTTTTAACCAATATGCGACATTGTACACATACTTTTTCTTTATCGATTGAGTAATATATGTCCGTTTTTAAAAATTTAAATCACATTATATGCAGAAAAATCTATTATTTTATTAATTATATGTATTTTATATAAATTCAAAATAAACTATAAAATCATATAAAAGTGAAAGAAGAATTATATATTAATGGTTTAAATTTGGTAGAGATGTTTTAGGAAAATTTAGAAACGAAATCAATTTGTTACCATATTTGGAAGCCACAGTTTCTAAAAGATTTTTTTGAAAATATTTTGTAATATTAATTAATATATAAAAATTTATGACAATGGCATTCTAGTGTAAATACTTCTCAACTTTAGGATTTATTTGCTAAATGTACTTCAAAAATGTATATATAGATGATATAATTTTATTATTTATTTAAATAATTATTCAGAAAGTAACTATTTAACCTGTTAAAATATGACATGTGTAAAGCAGAGTTTCTCAAAGTTTCTCTCCAAAGACACGTTTCTCACCCTTTCTCCTCTTTTATCATTATTTTTTGTTTTTTAATTAGTAAAAACTCATGTGAGACACTTCCCAATGGAGATGCTCTTAGGAAAGTACAACCAAAATTTTTTAGAACAAGGATATGACCCGCGGTACACCGCGGGTTAATTATTTGATATTTTTGTGTATAATATTTTTTGTTGGGCACCGCAGATCAGTTTTTTGTAACTCAAATTTTTAAATTTTAAGTTGAATTTATTTTTTGGTGTTTAAGATTGTATAATTGTATTTGAATGTTAATTCTAGGATTTCACTCGTGATATACCGTCCCGTATTAATATCGACCAAAATCCGTCCCACCATATAACCCCGTCCCGAGAAATTAAACATCATTTTATTATTTTTATTTTCAATAATAATTTTATTTTAAAAACATATAATTCGAATCAATTTAAAAGTTTGCTTTCAAATGGTAAATATAATATATATTTATGAATTTAATAGAGTTCATCTATATTATTAATATTATAAAAAATTGCTAGAATTTAAATATTATAAATAGTTAACAGTTTTATAAAGTAAAAATATTTAATAAAATATTATTATAAAAACAAATAATTAACTTGCGGTGTACATTGGGTCAAATACAATGATTTAGAGCTAATATAACAATTTGGGCTAATTTTCTAAATCATGTCTACCTAATTTAAACATAAATATATGATTCTCTTTTTACTTTTATTTGATCTTATATTTTGCTAATTTTGACTTATTATAATATATAGTTAACAATTGTAATTGTAAATTGCGAAATAGTTTTTATTAGTGTAATGTAAAAAGCACAACTTCAGGCTTGGAAAAATGTTTGTTTTTATAAAAATTAAGAAAAATGGTATGAAAGATTATTTTTTCTTGCATTATATTAAATGTTGCAAAATTACTTACTATTACTATAAGCCAACTTTAGTGGTTGGGCTTTAGACCCAATAAACATAAATTAAAAGAGTTGTATAAAACCCACAAGAAATAAGAACCCAATTTGAATCCATAACTAGATTTGAACCCGCGGTACACCGCGGGGCTATAATTTTTTTTTAAAAAAAATCTAAATATAATTAGTTTTGTTTATTAATAGAGAGTATAATATAATATTTCGACTATTTTATAAATGTACCATTCATATATCTATATTAATAGTTTTGAGTATATTAATTGTGTTTTAGGTTTAAATGGTATATCTATATATATACACAAAAACGACATTTGGCTTTCTTTTTCTTCTTGCCTCAATTTAGGAGGAAGATTTTTCTTGCGGTATACCGCGGAGCTATTATTTTTTAAAAAATATTTTTTTCTTTAAACTTCTAAATTTAGATTTTACCCCGCGGTACACCGCTGGTCGATTTTTTTATAACTAAAAAATTATTTTGCAAAATTTTAAGTTGTATTTGTTTTGTTAATATTGTTTATTTTCTTTAGTGTTTCTGATTTTATAATTAAATTTTGATTTTTAATTCTAGGATTTCATCTATAGTATATTGTTTAATATTAATATTGATCTAAACCCGTTGCACCATATAACCCCGTCCCGTAAAATTAAACATCATTTGTTATTTATTTTTGAATAATATTTTTATCCACTACGGGTCGCAAGTTCATGGGATAAGCCCGTAGAGAGTTGCGGGTTTGCGGGTCGACCCGCTAAAAGAGAAGCTATCTTTTGAAGCCCTTTGTTTTGTTTAGAGGTTTTAAGAAAACATCTCTAAAAAATAATTTTCATTATATGAAAAAAAAAAGTAGAAGAAATTGTAGTATCAACATTCCCGATTTTTACATCACTCGTTACAATTAATTTTTTTTTTTGCAGATAAAAATCAGAAGTTAACTAAGTCGAAATTTTTAAAAAGATTGTGTAAAGATTTTTGGTAAATTGTTGAAAACATATTTGATTTCAAAATCTTTACTTAAATAGATAAGGAAAGATTTTGTAGAGACTTTTGCTAAATATATGATAAATGAATTTCAATTAAAAATCTTTACTTAAATAAAATAAATCTAAAGAATTAATGCTAATGGCATGTCATTGTAAATACTTCTCAACTTCATGATTTATTTGCTAATTGTGATTCAAAAATGTATATATAGATGAGATGGCCCACCAATAATGGCTGCTAATAGTCACGACCTGAGTTGTTTTGCTGTCTTTTGGAAGAAAAAAAAATATATGAGAAACAGAAAAACAAAAATTTCTTTCCCCTAAATCTTCAGATTCAATTTCCGTTTTCTTAATCTTTTTTTTTTTTGATTGTTCGATTGTACCTTCGATTAGCAAATAAAGGAAGAGATCTTAGTAATTTACACTTAAACGAAGAGAGCCATGAATCCAACTGAACTACGAAAAGAACCGAAGTAATCGGTTCCAATCCAAATCAAAAAAATTCGCGTTCCACAGGTAAGAGAAATAGTATGTTAATTATGTTATCTTGATCGATTATTCTCAATTAAATACTAAAATTCTTTGTTTATATGTGGGTGATATTGAAATATATGTATCTATGTCCTCTGTAACATCGATTCACTTTCTGATGTAAAATTACATTATATTCCCTACCTTGCCTTTTCACGACAGTACTCAGTTCTTAAACTCATTAATTTTTGATAATATGATTGGGAAGAACAGTGTATTGTCGTCTTGAGTCTTAGGATTCTGATTTCCTGTTTTTTTTTGTTGTTATAAGATTGGAGATGATAAGGCAAGGTAGCCGATTGTCCTTAAAAGTCTAACAAATCAAGTGATAATCACAATCACAAAGATAAGCAACACCTTATTTCTCTGAAATATTTCTGATTTTTCTGTTTTTGATATTGTTTACTAACATTTGTTTTCTTTCATAGGTGAGGAATAATTCTCGAATATTAAAGTTGTCTTTGTTGATCTGGCATGAGTCATCTGTTTGACATAAGATGATCACAAAAAGGTCAGTATGAGACCAAAAACTTAGTCTAATTGATATTATAACAAAACAATATAATGCGGGATGAAAGCATACACATGGAATACAATTCAATGGTTAAGTGATGAATAGGATTCATGTCAGAAAGCAGCTTATCTGAAACAATGACTAACCTACAACGAAAAATAAACAACATCAAGCTCAGTATTTTGACACGAAACAATCAAGCAGCCATTCTGTTGGTATGTTGTGTTTACTTTTTGATATAGATCGAAATGGTAATCGTGGTGTGTGTGTTTAGATCTTGGAAATGAGAGTGTATTTATAGTGGTTTGATAGGTTATAGTACCATATTCCAAGTATTAGATATCTTATAAAATATTCACGATCCTAAATCTAATAGAATATGCTATTGGAAATAAGAATAAAATAGTTTAGTTAGGAATCATTTCCAATTAAGTAGTTGTGATTGAATGTCGATTTATATGGCTTATTTGATTTAGGAAACAAACTTTAATGGGATCATAATCTGTAGCATTTTTTTAGGAAACAATTTGAATATAAAATATTTGCGTTGCATTAAAATAGGAAATCATTTGTTTTGCAAATATTAATTAGTTATAAGTAATATATTGCCAAATCAATCATTAATTTCGTTTGGATTTTTTGTAGGAAAATCTCCAAAAAAGAAGGATCCAATTGAAGGAATTCCGAAATCCTTGCATTTTTTTTTGGCAAGTCTCATTATTTTCTGGATCCGAAATCAATATTAACGGGTCATTGAGTCGGGTCAAAAAACCAATTCCGGGTCAAAATTTTAAAAATACCCGACCCGATTAGGGACCCCAAAAACTGTTGCAAAAATGGATAGTAGATCTTTTTAATTTTTTTGTCAACAAAGTTTATTCCTTTAATCTGGATCAAAATTCAGATAAACCGTTATATATATATAATTGATATAATAGGTCAGTTTGATAAAAGACCATTGAGCCTAAACTCTAACCGCCCAAAAACTTGCGAAAGAGGCTTGGCCCATGTACAGCCCGCCAAATTGACAGACAGCTTTGGCTGTAACCCTAATAAATTCACAAACTCCATCATCAGCCACCGCTATAATAAAATCCCTAAATTGACAAAGTGCCTCATCAGCCCTCAAAGCTAGCGTCTCTGGAGAACTTGCTACGTCGAAACCATGTCCACTTTGGTCCCTTTGCTGCCCGCCAGCGAGAGATCCAGTAAGATGATTTCTCGAAATTAATTGTTTGTTTATGATATCATCTTTCTGTATAGTTGGTAGTAAATTTGTTTGTCTATGATCGATCTGGATTTTGATCTTGATTTGTTTTTCGTAAATTGTTTTGTTAGAATCTGATCTCGGATCTATATCTTTCTGTATATTTTTCTATGATCGATCTTGATTAGATCTAATTTTGATCTTGATTTGTTTTTGTCGTAAATTGTTTTGTTAGCACATGCATATGGAGCGCATGATGAAACATTAGTCGTATGGGACATAGAGGACTACAAAATCCCTGAAAGCATCGATCCTTGTTTGATCAACTATAAAATCGCAAGAGCTATTGTCAAGCGTCCTCATATAAGGATGTTGGAAGTGTCCATCTGGATTTTCGGTTCTGCTGAGAATGCATGGTTGACTGAATCGCAAGACAAACTTTGGAAATCCGAGTTTGAAGTCTGTCTCCACAAAGGTCCTTCTCTAACTCATATATATAAACACTCTCGAATCTATCTGCAAGTAATCTATTTATACTATTTGCAGGGGATAGACGTACCAGATTAAACATGATTCTAGCGGAAGTAATTTACCATGTATGGAGCTTGGATGATCCAATAAATTTGCTGGTACTCTCGGAAAACAAGGAGAAGATGGAACAAGACCCCAAATTTTGCAGATTTCGTCAAGCTTTAGAAAACAAAGGTTTCTTTGTTGCCTTAGCACACCCTGAGACACTCATTAACCAAGAAACTGCCGTTGAAGAGCCGCCAGATTTTACCCCAATACCTTACTATCAAACCACAAGTGACAACACGCTTAAGCTAGCTTACTGGACCAAAGAAGATGATGATGCTTTCAGATCTAATCATAAAGAAAAATGCCCCGGACAGCCATCGAATCTCTTTGTCCTTGGCGCAGAAGAAAATCACTAGACAAATACAATTCTTAAGTCATCCTTTGTTATTTATGCTATATACGATGCTTACTTGTTCTATCTTTCTCTGTATTGTTTACTCAACGCCTATCATTACCCCCAATTTCCACCGCTTGCGCTTCTTCAGGTCCCAAGCAAAAGCCACTCATGATTGATTTAAATCTAATACTCAACCACACTAAAGATGTCCAAAACCAGATAAATATGATCAATAATAAAAACGTTTCAATCCAATCATGAGTGAATTGGGTAATCCTCCGCATCCCAAAACACAAACGTCTTACCATATAACAAAATATGGACAAAACGGCCATAGGAATGCATTACCAATCATTCTATTTTTTTATGCTGAAAACATATTTTGATCAGATTCTTTTTTTCTTTCAGCCCCATAACGTACGAGTAGCAAGGAAATAAACTTTGTGACTTTAGTGTCCGACTAAACATGATTCTAGCGGACGTTGTTTACCGGACATGGAGCTGGAATTTTGCAGATTTCGTCAAGCTTTAGAAAACAAAGGTTTCTTCGCTGCCTTGGTATTTATTCGATGAGGCCTGTTAACAAATAAAAATGCACCTTTCTTTACGTTAACTTCTTGTTTCCTGAGGAAAAGCTTAACAGTGATAAAATAAATATTAATAGAGACTAGAAAATTAAGTATACTGATCTCTGATGTAAATGGCCTTTTTCTATAATAAAATTGAAATGGACCAATCGAGAAAGCGAGAAATAGAGAGGAGAAGATCTTTTATGGTTTTTTTTAAGGAAAAATCATTGTCAGCTACACGAACTATACGTCAACACATCACCACACATGCAGACTATTTTAATGTTTCGCTAACTACACGAACTATTGGTATTACATACGGACATCTCCGAACTATCATCGGTTATGTGTGCAACACCATAACCATCATTTCCAAATAATATAAAGTCTTGTTAACTACACGAAGTATTTCTTTTTTTTGTCAACTAGACAAAGTATTTTCATCAATTTTTTTTAAACTAATAAGTTAAATAAAACTATATAATATATCAATGTAAATTATATATGTACATTATAACTATTCTAACTTTAAAATTTTAATGTAATAAAGACTAAACTAGTTCCATAAAAAATATATGTGTTCATTAAAAATTTGTTAATTAACTTAAACCTATAATGAACATGTATAATTTAATTAAGTGACACTTTTAAAAGTTTAGTTAAATTAATTTCATATAAAACATATGTGTGCATTAAAAATTAGTTAATTAATTTAACTTAAAATTATAAGGGATACTGCATATGTAGAATTTAAACTTTAAAAGTTATAATGCATATATATAATTAACAATAGTGTATTATTTACTTTTAGTTATTTTTTCATTTTGTAATTTAGTTTTAAAAAAATGTTGCGTGTAGTTAACAATACATTTATATTATCTGGAAATGATGGTTATGCTATATATAATTTACATTGATATATTATATAGTTTTATTTAACTTATAGTGATGTATAATTTAACTAAGTGACTATTTTAAATTTTTAACAATTTAATATAATAAATATTAAATTAGTTAAATTAATTTAACTTAAAAGTATAATGCATTAAAAGTTATAATATATATATATATATAATTTATAATAGTGTAATATTTACTTTTTAGTTATTTTTTATTTTTTAGTTACTTTAAAAAAAAAAATTTGATGGAAAATACTTCGTGTAGTTGACAAAAAAAGAAATACTTCGTGTAGTTAACAAGACATTTATATTATCTGAAAATGATGGTTATGGTGTTGCACACATAACCGATGATAGTTCGGGGATGTCCGTATGTAATACCAATAGTTCGTGTAGTTAGCGAAACATTAGAATAGTCTACATGTGTGGTGATGTGTTGGCGTATAATTCGTGTAGCTGGATTTTTCATTTTTTTAACTTGTAGACCGGTAAGGTCCAAATTGAAAGGCGAAAACCGTAATGTTTGGCTATTTAATTTCCGGTAGGTTTAAACTGTTTAAGAAATCCGGTTACTTAGGATATACTTTACTGATAAAGTCGAAACGATATAAAAATTTGAAGTTGCACTTGCATAGTAACCATCAGAATGTAAAATGAAAACTTAGGTTCTCATTATACATGAGAAATTCATAAACGAAAACCATATAAGAATTGAACCGAACCGAACCGAACCAGATTAAAATCAATGGTTTGTATATAACCGAGTTCGAGTCGATTCCATTTGAAATGAAAGGATAACTCACTGGGTACAGAGTCACAGAGACAAGCTTTTTAGTTTGAGCTCTCACTATGTCTCTCTCGCAAACGAATTTCCTCAGTTCTTCATTTCTCTCATCGAGCCATGACCTGCGAATTCCTTATTCTAGAGCGGTACTCGCTTATCCCCGTATCCAAACACACCGGATTCTCTGTGCTGCCAAGCGAACCGGGAAGCGGAGATATCCTTCTGAGAGGAGGAAGCTGAGGACAGAGCAGAAGGAAGCTGTGGCCAAAGTTAAGAACAAGCTCGAAGGAGTTTGGCGTCTCTCTAAGCTCGGAGTTCCTGTCGGAGATGACCCTGGAAAGGACTTTCTCGGAATTTCCGAAGGTTTGCTTCAAGCCATCGCTAAAGTTATCGAGTTTCCGGTGAGTTCTCCGGTGAAAAGTTGGAAACTTTACCTTATGGGTATGAAATTAGAGTTTGTGGAAGTATTTTGATACTTGATACTATCTGTAATTTGATAAATTGGGTTTTTCAGGTTGCTTCAATGCTGCCAGAAGAAGCATTTTCGGTGATTAGGAAATCTTTTGACGCTAGGAAGGTAGAATTCAATTTGATTCTACATATATGTTTATGAATTATAGTTCAAGTGAGTGAAGTTTTCATCTTTTGTTTAGATTCTGAAAGAAGCCAAGTTTGTTTATACTGTGGATTTGGACGTGAAGACCCTTCTTGAGTTGGAGCCTCGTGCTCATGATTTCATTTTCCGGTTAGAGCCTAAGATTGGGCTTATTGAACATGTGTCTACCGAGAAGAGTGTTTCAGGGGACTTGATCAGTGTGGTTAACGACTGTAAAAGGATCAACAGTGAGACAGCACCCGGAGAATATGAACCTCAGATTATCAATGGCTCTGGAGATCCACACCAGCGTGGAGGACGAAGCAAACCGAAAATCGCAGTTGTTGGTGGTGGTCCATCTGGTTTGTTTGCAGCTCTTGTTCTTGCAGAGTTCGGTGCAGATGTGACATTGATAGAAAGAGGGCAAGCAGTAGAAGAAAGGGGACGTGATATCGGCGCTTTGGTAGTTCGCAAGATTTTGGATATGGAGAGTAATTTCTGCTTTGGCGAGGTTTAAACGCCTTCTCTTCAGTCTTTTGCTAGTTTCCTTTGTTATTGTCAAAGTCATATTTTAGCACTTATGCATCGCAGGGTGGTGCAGGTACTTGGAGTGATGGAAAGCTTGTTACTCGAATAGGAAAGAATAGTGCCACCGTTTTAGCGGTTAGTATTTTGAGACTGTCAAATGTTACATAGAAGCACTTCATGTTTGCGTACAAATGGAAAAATTGTGACCATTGCGTTAATTGTTACAGGTGTTGAAGACGTTGGTTCGCTTTGGGGCTCCTGATAATATATTGGTCAACGGAAAGCCTCATCTAGGAACAGATAAGCTAGTTCCATTACTCCGTAATTTCAGACATTATCTTCAAAGTGCGGGAGTAAGTCTAAAATGAGAGATTGATCTATGTCTCTCTATTACTTTTTGATGTTTTTTTCTCATCTGAGCAGCCTCTTTAATTCCATATGCTTAATTAGGTGACTATCAAGTTTGGAACTCGGGTAGATGATCTTCTGGTAGAGGATTCTCGTGTTGTTGGAGTCAGGGTTTCGGATTCAACAGATCAATTGCAGAGTACCTCTCAGAATTTAAAGTTTGATGCAGTTGTTCTTGCAGTTGGTCACTCAGCACGTGACACATATGAGATGCTTCATTCTCGTAATGTTGAATTGACCCCAAAAGATTTTGCTGTAAGTTCTTTGTATATATGTTGTTGAGTGTGTTCTTTCTTAAAATGTTCATATTGAATCGATATATCTGGATGCTTTATTATACTTAGCTTGGTATTATCATTTGATTTCTATCCGTTTGTGTGGATCAGGTTGGTTTGCGCATTGAGCATCCGCAGGAGCTAATTAACAGTATACAGGTTGGTTCGATTATCTTAATACCATATATCTTCAATAAATCAGATCCCATGACTTTGTTGTACCTTATCGTTATTCAAGTCTTGACTTGTATATAAAACACCTATGTTCTTGTGATGGTCTTTCTTTCCAGTACTCGGATTTGGCAAGTGAAGTTCTTAAAGGACGAGGTAAAGTACCAGTGGCAGATTATAAGGTTGTTCAGTATGTGAATGATAAGGCCGAGGATCTCTCGCAGTCTTCATCAAAACGTAGTTGCTACTCCTTCTGCATGTGTCCTGGTGGTCAGGTAACAGTTTCCGTAAAGAGTGTCTTGCTGTTTTTTTTTTTTCATTCGATTTCTCACGAATAAGCCTGTTTCCATGTACTTTCAGGTTGTTCTCACCAGCACAAACCCAACCGAACTCTGCATCAATGGCATGTCATTTTCTCGCCGTTCATCCAAATGGGCCAATGCTGCACTCGTTGTCACAGTCTCAGCAAAAGACTTTGATGTTCTCAATCTTAAAGGACCCTTAGCTGGAATTGAGTTTCAGGTATCAATCTGGAAGTGGATTACTATTAATACTCATGAGTTATATTCAATATGTCTCCTTTGATTTTTGTATTCCTCTAGAGAGAGTTTGAAAGAAGAGCGGCTATAATGGGTGGTGGCGATTTTACAGTTCCTGTACAAAGGGTTACTGATTTTCTGCAAAACAAGCTATCTGGTGAGTAACATTTTCCTTAATACTCAGTTCTCATTTTTATAATTCAAAATATTTTTTATCGGCTTGTTCATTGATGATTTTGGATACTCTTGTGCTGTTAAACAGAAACACCTTTACCTCCATCAAGCTATAGATTAGGAGTGAAATCTGCAAATCTGCATGAACTGTTTCCTACTCATATTACAGAGTCTCTGCGACAGTCTATCTCTATGTTTGAAAAAGAGGTT